TTATTATGTATATACAGTACAATTGCGAAAAGTCCAAGAAATAGGTGAACAATGCAGTCGTCCACTTCCGTAAAACTCGAATAACTCCGAAGCTTGGGGTTTACAAAATTGTATTGTATGTCGTTGTAAAAAAGACAATAATTCGTGCGATTATAAGAATTTAGGATAACAAAATATTAAATGTTGTATTACATTCAATTCCCTTATAAAATATTATGAGGTTTAAAATTGTTAGTGAGAGCTTTTAGAAGCAATAACCTATTAATAGCGGGCTTTACGCAGATTCTTTATCGCGCGTGATACAGCAAACGTGCGTGATTGACCGCGCGTGTACAGATGTTGGAAAGAAAAGAGAAAGACCGCGCGATTGCGCTCGTCAATCTCGCACTCCAACATGCGCCAGTTACACTGATGCTCTTTCCGTTGAAACAAAAACGAGCACGTGCAATCGCCCGCAAACGAACGTTAGTTTAAAAAACTTCAAACAGGTAGTCGCGCACGATTCCGCGTGCTGGTTTTCCCGCGCTGTACGCCTGATCACGCGCGATAGAGTGACTGTGCAAAGTGAACTATATGTAATTACATTTTATTTGTTAAATATTCAACTGAGATCTGAGTGATCAATAACTATGAATTATTCTATGTACTCTGTTAAAATCATAACACTTAGCTCTGCGAAAGTTCGAGGAGCCTCAAGCAAAGTGTATAAAAACTATTTAACTATGAGTGTCTAGGTACTGACTAATTGCATCGTATCGGTATTACGTCAATTCTGAAACACTTTTCTGTAAATAAAATACACGACAGATTTTATTTTTCATCTATCGTGAAAATATCCTACCGTAAGATCTTCCGATTTGAATGCTAAGTATGGTTTTATGGAAAAGAACGCTCACTTTGGGTTGCCAAGACTATTAATTAGAATTAGTTTTTATTCAAAAATAACACGTGTAAAATGAAGTCTTGCTAACTAAAAAGAATTAATAATGTATTGTTATTATAAATAGTTTCTTTCAATGAAATTGTGATTGTAATCAAATACGACATAAACACTTTATTTATTTATGATAATTTATGTATGTTCATAATCTGTTACACTAAGTATTTACCAAAACTTCAAAGAAGCAACACACAAAAGTGGACTTTATATCTTTCCAAAATCCCGTAATTACTTATTGTGTTGTATTTTGTTCCTTACTTTTGATGTGTTACTATAAATCACTATAGTAGTCTATATGTAGGAATTTTTTTGTAACTGTAAGTATAAATATGACTTTTTTGTTTTAGGTTTATGCCTTGTATTTTTAATCATTTCAATATTTAGTACGGAGATACTATCCACTCTGTGTATTACTTGAAGTTTAAATAAATACACTCTACCTCTTCCAGACGCTATACCAACTAAGCGTCTGCCACGGTATGCTAGAAGACGTCGGTTCGAATCCTTCCTGATCGAAAGAACTTTTTCTGAGTGTTCGACCTTTGGATTGATAATTATAATCTAATTTTCAAATATTTTATATTGTATTTAAATATAAGTTGCAGTAAAATTCCAACATATAAATAATACCACACGTCTGCCTGCTTGTGCAGACGTGTGGTATCATTAGGTAAAGCTGCTTATAATTATAACAAACTAGTGAAGTAATTTCATATATAAAACAATTGAATATTAATTGAATAAATATTTAAATACACTGAATAGCGTCATCTCTAGCCGGGGTTGGTAGCTGTAAAGGCATCTAAATGGGAGACG